ACAGATGCCAAATGCTAAGGTCAGTCAGCTCAGCGCTCTGCTTGCTTCTGGGAATGGGGGTTACACATTCCATCCTTCCCATCTGTTTGTGGTTTCATATGCTAGCTGTGATTTCCTGTAATTCTTGTGTATAAGGGATCGATGAGAAGATAAGGACAAGCACAGGCAACTCCTCTGTCCATCGCACTATGACAAACACATCTCAAGAGTCCTGCACTACAGTTACTGGTAACTCCAATTATGGGAAGAAAAGAAAAGGGGAAGGAAGCATCTTGCTTTGAAAGCTATAAAGGAAGTACCCTTCTTACACAATCAATTCCCCTTTTGGCAGAGCCTTCCCAGAAAGCATTTAGTGAGAAGGGAGGAGAACCAACAGTGTCAACCCTGAGCCCTAAGTCCTGACTGGTTCCTGCACAGATGAGGAACCCAATATTCCTTACTTCCTTGCAGTGTGCAAAATGAGCACAAAACCAGGAACCGAGTGTCAACATATGAGGCCAAAAATGCTTCCAAGTACACAGCATCCTTGAAAACTGGGTGACAGCCTTTCACGGTGACAACCCTGAGGGAGAGAGGACACACAGACACTGCAAAAGGCTTGTCTCAAAGTAGACCAAGACCACTGAAAGTTAAAGGCCAGACTGGGATACAGCAAGACCTTGTCTTAAATAAACAAGCCTTACTTATACCTTTTTTCTTTTTCTTTTTGCTCTTTGAGGTAGGGTTTCATTATTCCAGGCTGGCCTGAAACCTACTATTAACTGAGGTTGACTTTGATTTTTTTTTTTTTTTTCAAGTGTCTCTCTGTAGCCCTGGCTGTCCTGGAACTCCCTCTGTAGATCAGGCTGGCCTCAAACTCAAAGAGATCCACCTGCCTCTGCCTCCCAAGTGCTGGGATTGAAGGCATCTATGACCAAGCCAGGCTTTATGTGATGCTAGGAATCAAACCCAGTGCTTCAGGCATGCTAAGCAAGCACTTTACCAACAGCACTGTATCACCAGCCCTCAATCTGTGATTTCTAAAAGATTGTCAAGATCCGGGGAGAACCAATTTCAGATGTGTATCTTCACACAGGAAAAGTGCATTCCAGTACTTTTCTAACTATGAAATAAGCATAAGGGGGAAAGAGAGCAGATTGAAGGAAGAACAAAGTGTTGTTAGTTATAACACGGGGAGTTCTCTGACATTTTCTAAACAAGTACTTCCCTCCCACCATCGACAGATTCAAGCACCCCAGAACAGTCACACTGTATTCTTCCACACAGGGGCCTCAGAAAACTAAATCTAGGAGACGACCCAAGAATACTTGTTACTGCATGATTTTTTTTTCCAGGATCAGGCCTCCTATGGATGCCAAACAGTCGTTTACAAGATCGTGGCCTGGCTGTGTTAGTGGGCAGAGGGACATTTTTTCATTCTCTATAACTGAGGTGGTCATAATTCCATCCCAGGATACTCAAGATAAAAATACCATTATTATTATATTAACTAGCATTTGACTGCTTATCTGCTGGGCATGAATCTAAGCACTTTACACTTATTATCTGATCTAGCCCTCACAACCACCTAAAAGGTAGGTACTAATTATTATCTCCTGTTTTAGGCAGGGAAACCTAGCAGCAGAGGTTAAATAACCAGTCTAAGGTCATACAGAAAGAGATTGGGTGAGATTTCAAACTAAGCACTCTGACCCCAAAGCATGCAATCTTGGTAGAGGTATAAATTTGTTTCATGTCAGGTACTGTAAATTTTAAATGTTAACATCATATTGGACTGAACAGATGGCTGGGGGTTAAGAGTACTTGCTGTTCTTCTAGAGGATCTGAACTCACTTCACAGCAATGTTGTCAGACAACCCACAACAGCCTGTAACTCCAGTTCCAGAGGATCCCCAACACCCTCTTCTGGCCTCCTCAAGCACCCACATACATGTGGCACACACAGATACATACACATTAAAAAAGTAAATCTAAAATAAAAACTGTAGATTAGGATGCACCTTCACAAAAAGACAAACAGGAAATTCTCAAGTCTGTTTAGACCGCTGCATGCAGCTGTGCAACCTCCTGAGGAGCTGGGAACATCAGCAGATGAGCAGAGGAAATCTTGAACACATGGATGCCAGGGACCCAACCATGAGAGCACTGACTTGAAGAGCTAGAGTGCTACAGTTTTATCTTCCTGGTTTTGGTTTTGTTTTTTTTTTTTGTTTTTTTTTTGGGGGGGGGTTAATTATTAGTGTTCAATACAATGGGTTTCATTATGACATTTTCATTATTATTGTATCTTGTTCATATTTACCTCATCACCACCTTCCCCATCCTCCATTTCATCTTCTGATTTAGCACATTTTGTCCCCAAAAATAGTCTCCCTTCTAGTGGCCTGTGTGGCCTCAACCCTGTCCTCCACCCACTGTCAAGTACCCGTTCCTCTGAAACGTCAGTGTTAACCACATCCCTGTCCCAGCATGTGACTAGTCACTCGGAGAGACTCAACCCACAACAGCCCAGCCCCACAGTGTCCCTGGGTTGAGAGGGCAGCGCAGGGGTGTGGCCCACCAACCCCAGCCCAAACCCCACTCCTCCACTCCTTGCGATGGTCTGTGCTTTTTAACACATAGAACAAAACAGTAAGAGCAGGGTCTACCACAAAGAAAGCTTTCAATAGTATGATGGCACACACCTGTAATCTCGGAATTCAGGAGAGTGAGACAAAGAATAGTGAAAAATCAGCCTTGGGCTAAATTTCAAAATGCTGACTCAAAATGAACAAAACAAAAACATTGTTCTGTACATGTTGGCATTTAGTATCATTCTACCTTATTGTATTAATTTAGTTCTATACGAATTTGGGCTTTATGCACTTTAAATGTGATTTAATCCATTGTGACTATATTCAAGCCTTACAATACCCATGTAAGTTAGATCAGACTCAAAGCTTAGAGACAGGTCCTGCTATAAGGAAAAACAACTAGGCAAAGGGTAGGAACTGAAATACACAGCAATCTCGCTCCTTAGGCAGAGACCTGTCTCCATCATCTCTGAATACTCTCCCACCCCTACCCCACACTATCACATATTCAATAAATCCATGTTAAAGTAGACTGACTGCACAGTTGTCAGACTGTGAACAGAACAACACCAGCCCTGTAGCCAGAGGATGGGGAACAAACAGGATTCATCATTCCTGGGCATTCCTAGCCAGCCTGAACAGACAAGAGGGCTACTATTCCCAGGCCAGACTCCAACTCATTCCTGAGAGGGAAGGGAGCGGCCAGAGGTCACTTAGAGGGAAATGTCAGTATTGCCCCTGCAGAAATGACCTCTGAAGCAGCAGGGAATAAGGCTAATGTAATGGGACATTGTTCAGGCCCTCCCACCAGGCCAAATGGGGATCCATATATGCTTCAGAGGCATATAATGCTGCCTTGCTAATTGAAGGGGGAGTTGCCTTTTACAGAACTTAGGCCAGTCTATAAATACCAGGGACTAAAAGGTTTCCTGTGGGGCTCAACTGCACCTCCCTAAATAGAGAGACTATCTGGTCCTCTACGCCCCAAACAAATCCCAGGGAGCATCTCGCACAAAAGAATTGTCCTCAAATAGCGCACATGCGCCCCCAGAAATATACCTCGACTTCTCTATTTCCACTCTAGCCTGTTTTTATTGGCCTTTCCTTCCCATACTCTTCATCTAAACAATCCAATCCTAAATACCCTTGCATGGCCCTACCCTCTTTTCTTCAGATAATTGTTTTGCCTCTCTCTCCAACTCAACCCACACTTCAATATTCCTATCCCCACAGACTTTGTCTGCCATGAAAGAAACCCTGGCTCTAAAATCATTGCAATTTTAGTTCTAGCTGCAACACAGTAAATCACAGTACTTCATGTTACTGAGGTTGATGTTCTAACCTATCCAATGAAACCAGATTGCCTAGGTCAAACACCCATCACAGTGCTACCCAACAGTTCTTGCCTTGTCCTACTCCCTAGAGGACTGTCCTTCTCCCCTTACTCTACTACTTAGATATAATCACTCAAGGTATCATACCTCAAAACCTCAAAGTCTTACCCTAAATGAGTGACTCCACTCTGTAGTAGACACATGGTCCTATCAGCAACCTTCTGGTCACTTTGCATCTACCTCCTTAATCGGAAGGGATGGAGATGAAGAGTCACTAAGTCTCTGTATGGTAAGAACAGACCCGCCACATGTGACCAAAACTCCTAAAGCAAGAGAGCACACAATCCCACCTTTACAGGTTAATTTTATCCTAAGAGCAAGAACATTAGTCAGTTTTATTAGAAATACCACCTGGTTCATTTCTTTAAAAAAAAAAAAAGTCTTAACATTTATTTATTTATTTGTAAGGGGGGCATGAATATGGAGGTCAGAGGATAAACCTACTTCTACTGTTCAGTAGGTTCCAGGATCAAACTCAGGTGATGAGGACCGATGCTCACTAAGCCGTATTACTGGTCCCTATCTGGTTAATTTCTGGTAAGATCCGGCCATGAGTTTTCAGAGGCCAAGAACTGCCTATAATTTGATTCCCAAAAGGTAGAATCCTTTATGACAGCTCCAAAACATTGTGCCAGGTCTCTCTTCCTGGTGTCCTAATGCTGCTTCTGCAAACTCATCATTAGCCTGGAAATAAACCCACAACCTGGTTCTTTTATAAGAACCTTGTCCAAAACTTTCAGTCATCACCCTCAAAACCAGAATTACTTTAACAGACTATCTTCAAAAACCAAATCAATACCAGAGAAAAGGGACAAAAGTCCTCAGCAACTTGTGCTTAAAAGGGGACTTTTGACAAAGAGATAAGAGGATGCTTCTCCTCAAATGATTCTTATTTTTGAAATTAGCTACCAGTAAGAGGTTCTCTTTCATGAGGCCTTTCAGATCCTCCTAAGACCCAAGCCAAAAGGAATGCAGACAGACTTGCCTAAAGAGGTACAGGCACCTGGATGGTCTGAAGTATGAAAATTGGTACCTTAGGGTTGGCCCTTAAACTTTTCAGTCACCAATAATAGGCAGATAATCATGGAACCACAAAAGTGAATTGAGAGGGAGGTCTTCCCCTGGAGAAGCTCAACCTGTCTTGTGCAGGCCTGTTGGGACAAAGGGAAAAAGAAAGAATGTAAGCACAGGTTCAGTATTGTGGTGTCAGGGTGGCCAGCAGCAAGTGAGGGCAGCTCCACAGCAGACAGACTACAATGTTCTGGACCTGACAGAGTTCAGAAACTTGAACCACAAACAGGGACAACGTTAGAGAGTCTGCCACGTACCAAACAAGGTAGATGTGGAAAGGGGAAGGGAGAAAACAAGTCCTACCCTTTAGTAACTCAGGATGTGGGGAAAATGATGAGGTCCAGAACTGGCCACAGTCCCATCAAACTTGAGCCTTGCTAACCCCTGGGGCCAGAACAGTGATGCTCTACTATGCCCTGGTCTACAGCCCTAGCCAATACATGCATGGACAGCTCCAAGACCTCCAGTTTGCCAGTCTACACTGTAGAACAGATGCTTCCTGACACCACACAGGCACTGTTGTAACCCAGCATCTGGCCTTCAGAAAGCCTTCCTAAACACGAAACCAGTTGTGGTGGCTATAGAGCAAGATCCTATCTAAAAAGAAAAGGAGGAAGAGGGAAAGAAGGAGGGTGTGAAGGAGGGGGGCAAAGTCACTTAATCACCCTGTGCCTCCCCTTCAGTGACTTTAAAGTGTAATTCCCACCTCACTTCAAGCCACTGTCATGAGAATAAGAGCCGACAAGACCGAGGTCAGCTGAGTCCTTCCCATGTGCTAGACACCAGGCACTTCCAGTCCTCGCTGCATACAATCCTCAAAACCCACGCCTGTGGTACATGCAATTATTAACCCCGATTTTCGGTTGAAGAAGCTGAGGCTTGGCAAAAAGAATTACTCACAGCCATGTACTCAGAAAGAAAACTAACAGTATGAAAGCAAGGGTCAGCTGCTTTTATCATCTCTTCCTCGAACTGTTATCTGAGTATTGTTTAGTTGTCAGGACTGTGCCTTCTGTTTTAAAATATGTCCATCTGATTTTATATCAATTACATGAAATGTGGTTTTAATAAGCTATTCAAGTTAAATATACCACTAGTATAAAATTCAAGTGACACAGAAAAGTAGTTTAAGAAATTAGTTTAGCCAAGAGGATCTCTGTGAGTTTGAGGCCAGCCTCATATACACGGGAAGTTCTAGGACAGCCAGAGTTACTCATAAAGAGACCTGTCTCAAAAAAAAAAAAAAAAGAAAGAAAGAAAGAGAGAAGAGAATGAGGGAAGATGAAGTTAAAGTTTCTCTTATCTTCATGACGTAGAACTGCCTCCCGAGTAATCACTAATATGTTAATAAGCCACCTTTCTTGAGATGGTGTGAACATCAGTTCCATTTTACAAACTACAAAACTGAAGGATCAGTTGGGCACAGTGCTGAATGCCTAGAATCTCAGCATTAGGAAGTCTAAGGTACAAAGGTTGCCAGGAGTTGAGACTAGCCTGGGCCTCATAGTGAGACCTCATCTAAAAACAACTTTCAAAAAGACTGAAAATCAGCCAAGCAGTGGTGGCACACGCCTTTAATGCCAACACTCAGGAGGCAGAGGCAGGTGGATCTCTGTGAGTTGGAAACCAGCCTGGGCTACAGAGCGAGATCCAGGACAGGCACCAAAGCTACACAGAAAAACCCCGTCTCGAAAAACAAAACAAAACAAAAAGACTAAAAATCAAAGTTCAATTTGCTCAAGGTCATACAATTGGGAAGTAGAAGAACTGGGCCTGAAGCAAGGTCATGTAAGCCCACTGTCTTCTCTGCTGCCGCCTAGGAAGTACTGTCTTCTGAAAACAACTGTCATTTTCAAAGGACACAGGGACAGGGAAACTGTACCTGGCCCACAGCCAGTTTCACTCCTCCACTTTCCCAACTAAATGAGAAGGCAGGCAGGCTGCCCAAGTACATCTCTGGTCCAAGAATGCTGGCACTCCTTCATATTCCTTCTATTCTAGGCTGCCGCCGCTACAATGTCCTTACAGCACACAGTCTCAGCTCCAGCCTCCAGAAACAATACAAGGACAATGGTTTAGAGTCAGAGACCATGCTGGTCTCCTCCTGGTAATATCAAAAGGAAGTAAGTGTCTTCAGAAGCCTATGTAAGCCCCAAAGCACCACCAGGCTAACAGTCCACCAGATGACTACAAAGGGACAGTCAGAACCAAGATTCCAACAATACCTAATTTGGGGTGAACTTGCTGAGCCACTCAAAATCCCCAGGGCAGTGTTTGGAAACTAATGAACTCAGAATTTCTGCTTTGTTTTACTCCTATCTGATGGTCCACCACATAGATTTTGAGATAGTATTTCTGTTTCTGGAGACTTTCCTCCTCCTCCTTTGTATTATATGGGAACATTTTTCCTTAAGATATTAAGGCTGCCTTTTCAAATGACACACATTCACATTTTTTTCAGATTTATTTTTATCGGGGTGTGTGTGTGTGTGTGTCTGTGTGCAAGTATGAACATGCCTGAGTGCCAGTGCCCGCAAAGGCCACTGTTGGTGCTGGATCCCCTTAGAGCTGGAGTTACAGGCAGTTGAGGACCCAGAGATGCTAGGTCCTCATCAAGAGCAGTACTGGCTCTTAACTACTGTGTCATCTCCCCAGCCCCACACTACAATTTTCGCCCCATCCATACACAAAAACATACTGACTTTGGGACTCCTGTGCTGAGCTAGGGGAACAGGAAAGGAGCTACTGCTATTACACTGCTGTTACTCAGCAAGTAAGTTTTATGGATCTGAAATCCCTGGAAGTTTCCATTTCCCAGCATAAGCAACCCATGTTGGATTTAAGGCTGGGTCAGCACCTCAATTATATAAGTATAGTAGTAGCTCCTTCAGGGGAGGGGAGATAGAGATAGTATTTATGAGCACTTGCTGCTCTTACAGAATACCTGGGTTCGGTTCCCAGGAACCACATGGCAGCTCACAACCATCTGTAACTTCCTCCAGTTCTAGGGAATCCAATGCCCTCTTCAGGACTCTGAGGGACCAAAGCATACAGGTGATATATATACATACATACAGGCAAAACACTCACACACATTAAAAGTAATTTTGTTTTAAATCTCAACTCATTGTCAAAGGTTTTGCTTTTCTCATTTGTATAACAGGACTAAAAATCATGTACAATTGTCCCTTGGTATTCACAAGGATTACTGGTTCCAAGATCCCTGTGGATACCAAAACCTGAGGCTATTCAAGTACCTTATTTAAAAACAGCACAGCAGTTACTTACAAATATCCTCCCATATATATTACATCCTCTCTAGATTACTTGTAAGACCTAATGCTGTACAAATAGTTGTCATGCTGTATTATTTAGAGAACAACAAGAAAAAAAAGTCTACACATTGCCCAATAGAGACACATTCTTCTCCCCGCAAACTGTCAATGTAAGGTTAGCTGAATCTACAGATGAAAAACTCCCAAGGTTGTGGAGGGCACATATGTTTTATATGAAATGTCCTGTGTGAGAACTTATAAAATGTATAAAATTTTTGCATTTTTGCTGCTAGCCTATAGAGTAAACAGAGGAAATTTAAAACACACTTAAGAATTTTGAAATGTGTAAGCGAACACTGGAGAATGACTCAAATAATGCATCATTAGGTGTTAACCTGTGCTGCAAAAAATATGGGAGAGGGCATTCAACAAATTCCTGTACAATTAACACATGAATTGAGATGAATTACTTGAAAAATCCCTTACCTTAGCACCACCGTATCTATATCTTCCCTATTAAAGGCGTCACCAACAGCTCTTACATCTATCTGTTCATGCTACCATTATCTATATTTCTAAAAATAAGCATGTACTTCTAGACAAGTACACATAGGACAAATGAGAAGCACCAACAGAATTATTCGTTTCTGAAGAACAAAAAAACAAATCATCCTGTGTTAACTATTTCCTTATCTATAACTGAATTCACATTCATGCCAAATATATTTATTTCTCTAAGCTGCAAAACAAACATATATATTGGTTTTAGGGCATAAGTGATACCAAGGACTTTACAAAAGCCAACAAAACTATAGAAACAAAACCTGAACCTGCAAATTAGCAAATATACCTTTTTGTTTTCAACCATGACACTTAAAGAACCCTGTAGTGTCTTTAAAAAATATTTTATTATTTTTATGTGTCTAGGTTTTGCCTGCATGTATGTCTATGCACCATGTTTGTGCCTGGTGTCCACAGATGTCAGAAGAGGGTTTTAGATCCCCTATGATGTCGGTGCTGGGAATTTAACCCAGGTCCTCTAAAGCAGCCAGTACTCTTAACTGATAAGCCCTATCTCTCCAGTCCATTATAGTTTGTTTTTGACTGCCCTTGCTATATAGTGAGATGCTGTCCCTGAAATCAAATAAATAAAGTAAAATATGAAGACTTGGGGGAAAATGAGAGAGGGGAAAAAAGTATCTATGGAATACACACCACTTATCCTACCTATTCCCTTCTCCCACATTCTTACTGTTTTCTCTCTCAACAGAAAATAAAGGGCAGTAGAAAGCTTGGGACATAGCTGAGTTGGTAGAGGACACACATAGCATGCACAAAGCCCTGGGTTCAATTCCCAGTAACACATAAACCAAGCATGAAAGTACCTACTTATAACCTCTAGCACTTGGGAGGCAGAGGCAAGAGTGTCAAGGCCAGGGACTAGAGGGACTACTCAATGGTCAAGAGTATTGGCTTCACTTCCAAGGGACCCAGGTTTGATTCCCAGCAGCCTTAACAGCCTGAAAACTCCAGTCCCAAGGGATCCTGGCCTCTGCAGGCACCAGGCACACACATGGTACACAACTCTTACTTATTTTTGAAATGGAGTTTCGCCTTATGGCTTCTGACCTCAAACTTGAGATCCCCCTGGCTCAGACTGAATAGACTGAGTTATAGACAAGGTGGGCCATGTCCTGTTAAAATTATTAATTGGTAAGATCTTTTCCTGACATTATTTAACTGTGGCTTTGTAAACAGTGAAAGACATAGGTTTCCAATAGTCCTAAATCCATTTATACTTTTATCTCAGTGGAGAGTCATTTCT